TGAAATGCAGCCACCTCTGGGGTAGGACCTCTGGGGAATAGCCACACATAACACTGCACAGAGATGGCTTTTCTGTGGCCAAGATGCAGCCACCTCTGAGTGGGGCCACCGGGGAACAGCCACACATAACACCACTCAGAAATGGTTTGTCTGGGGCTGAGATGCAGCCACCTCTGGGGTGGAGCCATCGGGGAACAGCCACACACAACGCCACATAGATATGGCTCATCTGGGGCTGAGATACAACCACCTCTGCGACAGGGCCGCTAGGGAGCTGTGAGGGCAGAGAGATACCTTCCAGCAGGGCCAGCAGGAGGTGCTGCCATGTCAGACTCACAGCAGGTCGCATCTGGCCGGATCCTGCCATGTCAGGCGGGTTCAATTTGGTCCCCAAGTGTCTGCCCCTTCCCTGTCTCAGCTCCTTGGGGCGAGATCCCGTGTGACGCTGGAACTGGGGAGAGACACGTGGAAGCAGAACAGCCTGGATCGGGGCCAGCATTCCCCAAAAGAAGGGCCCTGTGTCCCATATCCCACCCCTTGCGTCAGACCAGCGCCGGGCTGCCTACAGAGGGCCCATCTCACTGGCCTCAGGCCTTGCTCCCTTTGCTGTTGCAGCTCAGACCCCTTTTGCTTCCCAAGGAAAACCCGGCAGTGAAACTGGGGCATGGGGTCACCTTGCCCCCTCACTCCCCAGCTCTTCCCCTAGGAGAGACCCTACCCCCGTCCCAGGGAGCAGCTCACTCCCCTCCAGTCCCCTTTCAACAGCAGGGAAACTGAGGCAGCAGCAGAGCTTGAAATGCAGCCAGGACTCCTGGGCTCCCGCCCTGGCTTGGAGCAGGGAGCGGGCTCTGGCGCTGAGGGCGGGGGAAGGGGAGTTATCGACAGCCGGGCAGGCAAAGCAGACACGCACGGAGCCGCATGACCCAGCGCACCCCCCAGCTGCTGGCTGCCTGCCCAGGCCTGGCTCAGAGAGCTCCCAGCCTCTGCACGGACACGGCTCTCTTGGCAGCCAGTCACCCTCCCCCTGCTGGGGAAGGGTACCAAGGCAAGTCCCAGCTGTGTCCCACCCTATTGCCTCTCTGCACCCCAGCCCCCAGCATGAGCCCCCCGAGGAAAGACCCTGCTGGAGAGACCCCGCCCACAGCAACCTATTGCTGCACCCCATCTCCGTTCCCCACACCCCATCCCTGAAACCCCTGGAGCCAGCAGCCAGGCCTCACGGGCACCCCGATTGGCTCCTTTCAGGGGGTCCCAAGTCACTCGCTGAGGAGGCAGTAGTGGCAAAGGGGGGAATGAGCTGAGCAGGGAAGTGTGGCTTAATGGTTAGTGCAAGGGGGTGCTCAAAGCCACGATGCCCGAGTTCTAGTCCTGGCTCTGGGAAGGGAGAAGGGTGCAATGGTGAGAGCAAGCAGCGAGTGCAATGCCACAGCAGCTGTGACTGCCCCCTTTAGGGAAACCACTTCCTGCTAAACCCATCCGGCCTCCCACGGGGCAGGCGGATGGGTCCGTCGTGCAAGCACAGAGCTGGGGCCGTGCTGTCTCTCGGTGTCCAGTGCCCTCAGCCCGACACCCCGCTCTGATTTCACACTAGCTGCTGGCGATTGCCTGTTTGATGGTGGGAGGAGGTGATACTGGCCAGGGTTCAAGCAGGGCTGGGAACCAGCCATGTCCCTCCTGCCCCCGCGATGCTGCATCACTGGCAAAGTCTCTGCCCACCCCCCATTCCCAGCCTGGGACGTCCTCCGCTTGCCGGCCCCTCACGAATTCACCTGCAGAGCAACACCCACCAGTGCCCAGCCCCCAAGAGCTGCGTCTTGGCGCCGTCACGGGTGGGCATCACGGTGTCATGGGACACTTGAGAAAACGGTTTTTATAGAATCCTAAGAGAGGAAGGGACCTTACGAGGCATCGAGTCCAGCCCCCTGCCCTCATGGCAGGACCAAGCACCATCTAGATCAGGGGTGGCCAACCCATTTAACAAAGAAAGCCAAAACAGCAGCAGAAAAAATGCGAAGAGCTACACCAGAATTGTCAAACACCAAAGAAAAAGATCCCCCCCCCTCCGCAGAACAGAACTGTCAAGCAAAAACAAAAAAAAATTTTAAAAATTTAAAAATGGGGCTGTCCCTTTAAGAGGGCCGCCATCTTGGTTGCCATTTTTAAAAGCCCGCAGCTCCGACCCCGTAAGCACAGAGAAGGGGGGGGCCGGGCAGAAGCTGGAGGGGAGCCGCTTGAGGGGGGTGCAGGAGCGGCTTCACAAGCCGCACTTTTGGGGGGCAAGAGCGGCATGCAGCTCGCAAGCTGCGGATTGGCCATGGCTGGTCTAGAGCATCCCTGACAGGTGTCTGTCCAACCTGCTCTTAAATATCTCCAGGGATGGAGACTCCACAACCTCCCTTGGCAATTTATTGCCATGTTTAACCACCCTGACAGGCAGGAAGCTTTTCCTAATGTCCAACCTGAACCTCCCAGGCTGCAGTTGAAGCCCATTGCTTCTTGTCCGGTCCTCAGAGGCCAAGGGGAACAATTTTTCTCGCTCCTCCTTGGAACACCCTTTTAGATACTTGAAAGCTGCTCTCGTGTCCCCTCTCAGGCATGGTCTACACTAGGAATTAACTGGATTCGGTTGATTTTCTAAATGAAGCAGCACCACCAAGCCTGCTCCATCGATGCTAAGGGCCATTAAAGTCAATTTCTGTACCCTCCATTTCACTTGGCGTCATGGTAAATTAGACCTTCCGTGGTCGACTTTAGGGTAATGCTGATGCTGTGAAAGCCGACATTCTTGGCTTCCAGGAGGTATCCCACAATGCTCTGCTGTGACCGGTCTGGCCAGGACTTTCAGCTCCGCTGCTCTCGAGGTGCACAGGAAAAGCCCCGGGAATATGTGAATTTCATTTCCTGTGTGGCCAGCATGGCCAGCAGAGCTCAGAGAAGGCAGCCCACCTGAGCAGCCTACCTGGCCATGAATGCCCAGAGTCACAGACGAGCTCTAGCGGGGAGCATGGCGGAGATCCTGGACCTGATTGCTGTGTGGGGAGGGGACCCTGTTCTTGCAGAGCTACGGAGCAGCAAAAGCAACGCCAATCCCGATGCAAAGGGCACAGTGGGGAAAGGGTACGCCAGGGATGCCCAGCAGCAAAAGCAATGCCAATCCCAAGATTGCAAAGGGCACAGTGGGGAAAGGGTACGCCAGGGATGCCCAGCAGCACCATGAGGAAACAAAGGAGCTCAGGCAGAAGACTAAGGAAGCAAACGGACGGTCTGGAGCCTCACCGTAAACATGCCACTTCTCTGAGCTGCTGCATGGCACCCTGGCAGGGACCCATGGTGAGGCGGTGAAGAGGAGAAGAAGAATGGTCAGCGGGTAAGCCAAGATCCGAAGCCAGGACCTTCGGACAGCACTGGAGACAAGCTCATCTTCCCAGGAGGTCTCATTGCCAGGCCCGGAGGGTGGGTCTCACTCTGGTCCTGCGGGGGAAA